TGCCCAGGCTTCACCCCAAACCAGTTGAACCAGAACCACTGGAGGTGGGACCCAAGCATCAATGCTTAAAGCGCCCAGGAGTTTCTAGTGATTGTAACCATGGTTAAGAACCCCAGTTTAAGAGAGTCGTCCAAAAAGACTGTCTTAGAAAGATGCACTGCAAGAACATCCACTCCCTGGCCGCCCTTTTGCCTTAATTAATCTTTATTCCTAATGAAATATTTTGAGGGCTGGGAAAGGGTACTAAGTCCCCTAATTCATGTGGTTTTGGCCTCACTGCCTCACACAGGAGCGATCACCTAAGGGAATACACTTGCTCTTATGGTCCCCTCAGGCTGCCCTCTTCTTCCAAAGAAAAATACAGGGACATTTGAAAGGACATTCATGCAGAAAGCTAATGCAATCACAGGGACAAATCACCTTCCAAAGGCCGTCTCAGACTGAGACCAGATGAGGAATATCTCCCTTTGTAAATGATCTGAATGAAGCTATGAGAATTCCAGGACAAGATTTTGCGTGGCCATGTCCCCTGCTATTGCTGACCCTGGGACCCTCGGCATCCCTGCCTTGCCCAGCCTGTTAGAGTATCAGCTCCAGAGGGGTTTCTTCATTCTCAACTTTGCATCCTATACAATGTACAGTTTAGCACCTACCCAGCACGTAGTAGAAACTAAACAAATGTTGGTGGAATGAGCAATTAGAATGTTGCTGGGTTTGTCAGGGACTGTATGGGTTAAATTCCCTGCCACCCCAGAAAACCAGGTCCAGTCTCCTGTGTGTTGAGGGGTAAGTGGGCCTTTGTGAACAGAGGGCCCAGGGGAGGCACTTCCACTCTCCTTCCATGATCTTTCCGAATCAGGGCAAGAGGGAGGAGACATGACTAGAGCTCATCTGGAGGTGACATTTAAGATCATGACATTTGGAGACACTGGAGCTGGAAGACTGAGGGCAGAAGGAAGTCAAATGGTCTTATCTCATCCTTTAGGATAGGGCCAACTATTTGGGGTCAGTTGAGAGGCCATAGCACCAGATGTCACTGCTTCCCAGAAAACATAGTTTATGATCAAGTGAGCTTTAATGATGCTGAAATCCTTTCTAGAAAGCCTGAGTCCTTCTGAAGCGGAATGTCCAACTGGGCCTGAGGATTGGGTATTTCTATTGGCGAGAAGGCTCTTATTTCTTCCAAAGCAGAAGGTCCTGAGTAAGGGTTTGGAGCCCTTCTGGAATTTGGAAAACCTGCCACATTCTGAATAAAGCATCCTGTAATTAAGAAACAATTACTTGGAAACGTACCTCTCCATTCCAGTCTAGCTTCTCCCCCTCCCCACCCCCCTCGCCCCAATGACATACAAAAAGTTTCCAATCTGTGTCTCCCATGCTCTGTTGTTATGAATTAATCATATTCTGAGGTGGAGCTTGGAGCCTGGCTCGGCCTTCACTGTCAGCGAGAGGATGCAGGTATATTGGGTCAGGGCATTGCAGAGATGGGTCAGGACATTGCAGAGATAGGTCAGGGCGTTAGAGGCTTTGGCTGCCAGTGCTGGTGATTAGGTTAGAATCAGTTGGACAAATGGATTATGCTTGGCTGAATGGGCTCATTTGCTCAAAGGGAAATAAAAGACTACTTTAATCACGACTAAGCTGCATCTCCCAGCCAGGCAGCCCTCGTCAGTGCCCAAGAATGTCTGTTTTGGGAGCCTAGGCCCAGCTCTGCTGGACGGGGTTGTGCACCTGCATTGGAGCAGAATATGGTCAGAAGATGGAGGCCAAGGAAGACAAAACCCAGGTCAACTGCTGTTGCTTCCCAAAGATTCCAGTTTTGTGACATGAAATGTACCTCTCCTTTAGATCAGGTAACTGCTGCAGCCCAGGTTATGAACCTAGGCATTTTCAAGCATATCAAGTGGCTACCAAGAAATATATGTATGGTTAATCCAGGAGTTGGACTATGTTTGGATTAACCGTGACTTCTTAATTCTCTATCACCTCGTAGGGTGGCTGGCTGGCCCTTACCTTCCATCAATAGTGAATAAAGAAACCTTGCAGATGAGACCTTTGAGAAACAATCAATACTATTTATTCCTTCTGGCTGGGGAAATTTGGAAGGGCAAACTGATCTCCATAATCAAGAGGAAATGGGACTTAGACCAAAGTTCCTCAAATCTGATTTCACCTTAGACTTGAATTGGGGGTGGAGGTCAGGGCATGGGTTAACAATATTAATGCCTGAGTTTTATCCAGATATTTATCATTTATTTGTCTAGGGTGAGGTTCAGGCAGGAGTGATGAACCTAAAGCTCCTCAGGTGATGGTACTGTGTGGCCAGGGTTGACAAAGAACTTCTGATTTCAGCTAAAAGGAAATGTATAGGTATGCATATGTTTCCTATATCTCTAATCTATATTAATAAATTAGACTGGGTAGACCAGACGTCCTTCCAGACAAAGTCACAGTGGTGGGGGCTGAGGCAGAGGTGGGTAGGGACAATCAGGCTGGCAGGGGAGAGTGGTTAGCTGTGATTGGGCAGGCAGGCAGAGGTAGTTAGAGATCAGGCAGGCAGATAGATGCAGTTAGGAGTCAGCAGTCCTGGATTGTGAGAGGGATGTCCTGGGGTTGAGCCTAAACTGGCAGCCAGACATCCCCTGAGGGGTCCCAGATTGGAGAGGGTGCAGGCTGGGCTGAGGGCTTCCCCCTCATCCTGGGAATGTATTTCATGCACCAGACTTCTAGTTAGATAATAAACTCCTAAAGAGCAAGGACAGTGCCATATGTTTTGGCATCTTTCCCCTCAGAGTTTAATAGAATGCATGCAGTATACAGTGGGGTCTCAATAAGTATTTAAATATAAATTTTTGAATGCATAGGCAAGCAGTATAGTTCCTTTAGAAATCTCATCCATCTGAGGCAGCAACTACCATTTTAAACATGCTGCACTGCAGAGGCCCTTTTAAGGACATATGAGCCAGCTAGACCTGCCACAATTCACTCAGCACCATTCTAACCACTTTAAAAATGTCTAGATGAGAAACCTCCACAATATAAAGGTAGAAGGTGTCTAAGGTTTTTTCTCTCTTTTCTTTTTTGTTAGTTTGTTTGTCAAATCTCTGATAAGAAAAAACAAAGTAGTCTTATTTTTAGACATATTGTCAGACAAGACAGTAGTGTCACTTGTCTAAACACTTCTGAAAGCATCCTCTGCAATTATCCCTTGATACATCATTATGATTCAAGCACCTTGTCTGAGCACTTCATTTTGATAAAGAAGGAAACTAAGAAAATCATGGAAAAATACAGAGGTAAGCAAGAAGACTACATCAAGAAAGGTTGGAACTGGAGTTTAGATTGAACCTTCCATTACAAGCTTTCTTTACTACATAACACTGTTGTCTATGGATTGAATCGTTAAAATCAACCTAAAAGAAGCCTAGGGGAGCACTTTGGATTTTAGAAAGTAGCCAACACAACACGGAAAGATTATCCTATATAATGAAAGGCTAATATGCAAATTGACCAAACAGTGGAATGACAGATCACTATAACGTGCACTGACTACCAAGGGGCAATACTCAATGTAGGAACTGCCTCCTGGTGGTCAGTATACTCCTATAGGGGGAGCTCCGCTCAGCCAGAAGCCAAGCGCATGGCTGGCAAGCACAGCAGTGGTGGCGGGAGTGCTAAGGATGTCCGACTGCCAGCTTAGGACATCCCCCAAGGGCTCCCAGACTGTGAGAAGGGTGCAGGCTGGGCTGAGGTACCCGCCTCCCTCCAAGTGCATGAATTTCGCATACTGGGCCTCTAGTGAATCAATAATTTAATTAGGAGACTAGATAGAGCTTCACAATTAAGTGCTTACAATTATTGTTAAAAGTAGATTTCTTAACTGTCTTTCCTTTATTCCTTTCTCTCTCTCCTCCCCTCCTTCCCTTCCTTCTAATAAACACTAACTGAGCTAAAAAGAAAATCTCACAGTCTTCACATTCCCTCCAAGAGGTCATGACTTCATAGGGCAGGCAAAAAATGGCAGCAGCAGCCCTGACAAAGAGTGGGTGTGAGGACCCCAAAGGGAAGGAACTTGGAGGAAATGCTGCACTCCCAGAGGGGAAAGGAAGGGTCATCAATGCACCCAGAAGAGGTTCTCGGAGTCTGGAAGGACATCTAAGGTCAGTTTGTCCAGAGCTCTCGTATCCTTAGCCAATCAGTGATTGTGTGACCTTTCTTAAGTATCTGCTGTCATTCCACGGCCAGATAGCTCTGGCACCCTTAAGACAAGCAACAGACAAAGTCTGTGTCAGTCAGTATGAACCAGACTCCCTATAAGAGGCACAAAATGGACAATTGGGCCAAAGCAAAAAATATAATTTAATCACTCATAAAACTGAGATGTCTGGCTTCTGGCAAGGATGGGTGGAGGGGCTCAAATGACACCATCAGGAATATTCTGCCCTCTCTCATCTTTGCTTCCCTCAGGCAGGCAAGATAGCCACCTGCAGCTCAAAGATCCTATCAGCTCAGCAACCCAAGAAGAGAGAATCTCTTCTTTTAGTCTTGGACAATTCTCATTAGCCCAGCTTGAGTCAGGGCTGATCCCCAAACTAAGAGAAAAGGAATAATTAAGGAAAACGTCAAGTTTTCAGACTGGAAACACCACAAATTAAGAGATAGTGAAAGAGCACTGGATTTGGAAAACAGAGCAATTGTAAAGGCAGACTTTGGTTTTAGATAAGTCAGAGGTGTTGGTGTGACTCTAGTGAAGAATCAGGGAGGGAATGGTTAGAAAAATGATGGTGGGGATTTGTGAAGTTGGAATTGGAGGTGAGAATTTGGATCAGTCTATAGAAGTGGGAATTGGAGCAACAGAATTTGTTGTATTCAATAAGGAAAAGTGTGTAAAAACTGGGGAGGGCTCTCGAGGGGTGAGTTGTGAGCTATAAAACATTCTGCAAGTGAAAGCTTATATTACTAGCACAGGATTTCATGTAGGAGAAAACAAGAAACCAGTGATGCTCTCTCGGGCCCTCATTTCCAAGGTGACCAAGAAAAGAAGGAATAACGGTCCTTCCAAAAAAGGCCAAGGCCATGTGCAGCCTATTCATTGCACCAGCTGCGCCCAGTGCGTGCCCAAGGACAAGGCCATTAAGAAATTTGTCATTCGAAACATAGTAGGGGCCGCAGTCAGTAGGGACATCTCTGAAGTGAGTGTCTTTGACACCTGTGTGCTTCCCAAGCTGTATTGAAGCTGCATCACTGTGTGAGCTGTGCCATTCACAGCAAGGTGGTCAGGAAGCATTTTCATGAAGCCTGGAAGGACAAACACCCCAATTTAGACCTGTGGATGCTGCCCCGTGACCAAAGCCCATGTAAAGAGCTAAGTCCTTAAGAGGTGAAGAAAAGTTCTCTGGGGAGGAAATAAATGGAAACTGTAATTTAAAAAAAAGAAAGAAAGAAACCAGTGAAGGAGAAAGAGAATGTGTGAGGGAAATGGATCACAATAATTTATAAGTAGACAGTATTTTTTGAAGTGAAAAAAAAAACTCTGTTTATATTGGTTTATTTATTTTTTTAATTAAAAATTAGTATTTTGACTCATTTAACAGAGTAGTCCAGGTTCAGACACATTTGGCATCTCAAAGGCTTTGAGATTTGTTTATTCTTTCATCTTATTCTGCTTTCCTAAATTGGCTCAGGAACCTTCATCCTGAACTCCATTCTATCTTACCTATCAGGAAGAGCAATTCTCACCCCTCCCCTCACCACACACACACACACACACACACACACACACACACACACTCCCAATGAAGGAATCTGAGTTCATCTGTTTGGTGTAGCTGCCATTATTTGCTCATTTTAAAGCAGATCTCTGGAGGCAACAGATGTTTAGATAAGTCAATACCCATCTTTGGAGTTAAGCATGGAGGCATCCAAACCATATGGGCTGATAATTAGAGAAAGGTGGTTTCCTAGGGCAGTGGTCTGCAAACCAAGGCTCTTGAGCCACATGTGGCTCTTTGGCCCCTTGAGTGTTCTAACACCACTTCTTCAAAATAGACTCGCCCAGGCCAAAAACCAACTTCTGCACATGGGCCACAAAGTTTCAATCACACTGGACATGCACCCCTGCATGTGGTATTTTGTGCAAGAGCCACACTCAAGGGGCCAAAGAGCCATATGTGTCTCTCAAGCCACAGTTTGCTGACCACTGTCTTAGGGGAACATGGGGTGCTATTCACAGAAGAAGGTGAAATGGATACAGCAAGAAACCCAGGGAAGAATGTCAAGTAAGGTGATAGTCAACACTGTCACATGACCCAGAGATTGATGAGAATGGGATGGGCATGAATGGGCATCTGTGGCTTAGTCATTTGTTTCTTTAAAGATCAGAAAAATGGGAGAAAAATACATTTTAGTGGGTGAAGAGGTCAGTAGTGTTAGAAACACCATAAAGGCAGGGATTTGATATTTTAAAGAAGACTCTCAGTGAAAGGAAGCATAGAGAATACACTAATCCAATTCCTACAATTACCGAGTTCTAGGTGCTGAGGGCACTGAGATGAATAGTTCACCTCAAAGAAGGTTAAAGCTTGGAAGGGAAAGAGAGAATTGTCAATGAATACTATTCTACAGAGAAGGAATACTTAATGATCTCAAGGTTGCAGAGTGGGAAGATATGCCAGTGACAGCCTGATATTAGGTCAGAGCTATCCTACAAGAATGTGATGAAATCTACTCAAGGGTACATGGGAAGTGGTGCCTGAGCTGGATTTTGTGGGATGAATAGGAGTTTGCTTTATGAAGCAAAATGGGGAAAAGAGACGTAGGCAAACGCAAACATTGTATAGAAGGCGCATGAGTGCATATTGCTGGTGAATAAAGTGCAGGGATGGGGAAAGGACAAGTGGAGAAGGGCCTGTGTGATAACCACAGGGGTTGGGCTTTGTCCTGTGGTATTAGGCAGTAGGCAATGGAAGATTTTCGGCCAGAACAGACATGCCAGATTAACATGTTAGGAGAATCTGTCCGGAGTCAGTCTGAAGAGGGACCTGTGTGGATACAGATGGGCCAGTTCATGGGAAGAAGTGCTAGTGTTTAGCACAAAAACAGGGACCAAGAAGAGGGGATTCATGGAGTGGAAGGTTCATCAGTAGCAGGGAAAATTCATCAAACTGGTGATTGATGGATAGGGAGAAAGAAGAAGCTCTGAAGACAGGAGCCCAGGCTCTGGAAGGAGAAAATGAACCCTGGAGAGGGCAGGTGGGGAAGTGATAATGAGAGAGGTCCCCAGAGAGACAGGGAGAAGGGGTTGCAGACACTGGTGGCGTGTGTGTGGTGTGTGTGTGTGTGTGTGTGTGGTGTGTGTGTGTGTGTGTGTGTGTGTGTGTGTGTGTGTGTGTGTGTGTGAGGGGCGGGGAGGGAGGAAGGAAGATGGAGAATGTGGACAAGACCCCAAAGCGTTATTGAGAACAGCTGGAGAGCTAATTTTCGGTTAAGATTGCAGCGAGATCACCTGTTGGGAGTGAGTGGGCCTCAGATTTCCCCGTGTGGAAAACCAGGTAGTAACAGAACCAATCAATCGCTGAGTCATGCCAGCTGCACCCCGACCTGCCCTCCTGATGCCATTCGCCTTTCTAGGACCTCATTAACTCAGCCACGCTGTGCTGGCGGCGGCGGAAGTGGGAGTGCGGTCTCTCCATCCCGCAGGAGCTTCTCAGACTTTCACCCACAGGAGGCCTGCGGTGAGACCCCGCGTGTGTTTTTCAGGACCCTTCATATGGGAGGTTCTGAAATGCATCCTAGCCACATGCCCGCCTCCCCCAACCTCCTAACTCCTCCCCTCCCCCAACACACACACAGCTGAGGTACGGAGGACTGGGTCCTGGAATTTGCCTGGAATTTGCGATGATGTGGGAGAAGATGGAGTGGAATCGTTTGCAGAAACCGGGTGGGTGTCAAGTGACTCAGGAAAGGAGGACACAGGCGGCTGTGCCAGCAGCTCCGGGAAAGCGCGGGGGCTCCTGTCCTCACACCCAGGGGATATGCCTCCCCCAACCACACAAGAGTGCCAGCGACCACACAAGAGTCCCAAATCTGTAAACGCTGAGCACAACGGAAGGTAACCAGACTTTTCTGACACATCATGGTGATTCTTCTAATCTAAAGGCAAGGAATGAAAATGGAGGGAAAAATAATAAAATAAAATAAAAAAAACCTGTGGATAATAGAAAGGCACTGGGCGATAGCTCCAAAAGTTGCAGCAGCTGTGTGAAGCACTGTCCTCTGCTGGTAACAGTGGGTCCTGCAACTTTATGGCAACAGCATCCTTGACTTCTTGACTACAACCTGGAGAGAGGGCAGGTGAGTGAATGGGGCTTCTGAATAACTGTAGGTCAAGTCAATGACCATCATTAAATGCACATCATGGCTCTTCAGATAAAAGCTGAGCCTGAAACTTTATATTTGGATATTTGCTAGGTAACGGTGATCAGGTTAAGACACAAACTATTTAGGAAAATCCCTGAAGCCCTGAAAGTTTCCTTGGAAAATATTTTGATGTGCACTTAATGGCCACAGTCACCTGGAGATAAGCTGCAGAGGTAGAACATTTTTCCTGGGGTAAAGGAATAAACTTTCAAGAAATATTTGGTAGTTCTATGCTGTTAATAATAATGGCCAATATTTTATTGAACATTTGTCATTATTGGCACCTTGTGTGCATTACCTCAATTAACTCTCACAACAACCCAATAAAGCAATAAATATTATCAGGAAAAAGGCAGTAACTATTACCTAATTTATCCTAGAATCATTGTGCAGCCTCCTAGTTAAGGTTGTGCCCACTGCTTTATCACTTAGGCCAAAAATGTTTAAAATTTCATGCTCATGTAATGGTCCCATGGAGGTGTTTCTTGTGACTGGTACTATTCTTTCTCACTGTGCTGATTCAGGCTCTCAGACTCCTTCTGGCCTGTGGCTATTTATTAACTGGTCCTTTTCATACTCATCTAACCTATCAGAAGAAAAGAGCAAGGAGAAAGCACTCTTTCTTCTTAAAAGCCGTGGCTCCTGTGCCACTGGGAATAACTAGACCGTTGGCCATAGTTCGGACGAAGGGGGAAGGGAGTATTGTTTCTGCCTGGTCAGTCTGCACCATGGGGGGGGGGAGGCGAGCAAGGATTTTGAGGTCAGCTGGCCATCTCTGCCCTCCCTCTAGTGCAGTGGTCGGCAAACTCATTAGTCAACAGAGCCAAATGTCAATAGTACAACAATTAAAATTTCTTTTGAGAACCAAAATTTTTAAGCTTAAACTATATAGGTAGATACATTGTTATTAACTTAATTAGGGTACTCCTAAGCTGGCCTTTGCTAAAAACTCAAGGGGCCAAAGAATCACATGTGGCTCGAGAGCCGCAGTTTGCTGACCACTGCTCTAGTGAGTATGATAGGATAGTTTGCTGACTCAGTTCACACACTTTTAAGGAGGATGAAGGCAGCTGGCCACGTCCCCGGTGAGCACCACCTCAAGATCTGGGGCTGGGGTTCTGGGCAAAAAAATTTTGTGTGGTGCTTTTCCTGTTGAGAAAGTACATTCCCTATCTATTATCTCATTTGATCCCCATAACTCCTTGTGAGGTGGGTTAATTATCTTTATTTCCCAGATAAGAAAACCAAAGCTAGCCTGGGATTCAAGGTATTGTGATTGCCAGATCCTAGAAATAGTGGCAGCTGCTAAGCTTAGGAGAAGCTTGACCAATCATTGGGAGCTTGACCAATCAACCGATGATCTTGTATGCATTTGTGCATAACCCATGGACACAGACAATGGGTTGGTGAAGGCCTGGGGTGGGAGACAGGGGAGGATTAGAAGGGATCAATGGGGGGGAAAGGAGGACATATGTAATACTTTCAATACTAAAGATTTAATAGATAAAAAGTTATATTTTCTGGTAAGAGGAGAGGAGTCGGCAGAGCTATGAGCAGAAACAGGTGATGCAACCCATGGCCTGAATCAACATTGTTCATTAAACAGGGACCGTGGTGATTCTTTGTCCAATTACTGCCAGGAATTCTAAATTGGAAAAGGCTGGTAGTGGGAGAGAAAGGAGGCAGCAATGGAGGAGTGGCAAATAGAGGCTGTTGGAGAGAGAGCAAGGTTCCCAAATTTTATCTTTATTTTCTACCTTTACCAAATGTCACAGAACAAATAAAACTGTGGCTTACATTTTACAATGTAACAATT